ATTCAATGGATCTAACAATCGGTCAAATATGTGATCCAAAAAAATGGAATAATAATGCTGGAATGAATGTTGAATGTATGTTTTCGGAGTATGGATATGATCCACAAGTTGATTTGGATAATATTCTTAATGGTATGATTAATTTTATTATTATCAAAAATTATTATCTTTTCTTTTTTTTATATTCTATGTAAGGTACTGGTAAACATTTTAAATCTTTTATTAGTTTTGTCAATCAAAATCAATGGCTTCCACAAGTATTTTCTGTTTTTATGTTTTTTTGGTTAACAGCTTTTACAATTGGCTTAAGTGAATTAGTTCTCGGTAAGTTTTTTTTGTTTTTTTTTTGAAATAAAAATTAATATAAAATTTTAGCTGGTGTTTATGCACGTTATTATTGGGATAAAAGACGATTTGGTATTCCACGTTCATCATTAGGTGTATCTTTCTTTCGTGCAATTGTATTTCATCTTGGTACAATTGCATTTGGTTCATTAATAATAGCAATTGTTAAGTTAATTCGTGTGTTATTAGAATATGTCGAGAAAAAAGTTAAAGATAAAACAGGAAGATTTGCTCGTTGTGTATTTTGTTGTTGTCGTTGTTGTTTATTTTGTTTAGAAAAATTCTTAAAATTTCTTGATCGAAATGCTTATATTATAACAGCAATATATGGATCAGGATTTTTTACATCGGCACGTCGAGCATTTAAAATAATTATTTCACATCCAATTCGTTTACTTGTTATTGATAAAGTATGTGACTTTCTTATATTTCTTGGCAAATTATGTATAACAGCTGGCATTGGTATTCTTGCTTTCTTCTTTTTTACTCACCGAATAGCACAAGCTGAAAATTATGTACCTGAATTACATTATTATCTTATACCATTATTATTAATTATTATTGGTACTTATGTTATTACAAAATGTTTTTTTTCTGTTTATTCAATGGCTGTTGATACAATAATGATTTGTGCATTAGAAGATCTAAGAATGAAAGAAAACAATAAAAATCATCAGACGATGATATCGAACAACTTGCAAAAAGTATTTCGAGTTAAAAAAGATAACTAAGATTTTATTTTATATTGTGATTAATCTATGTATTTCATTGTCTCTTCTCTAATTGTCATATTCATCGTAAATAAAAACAACTTATGAGCAAATTATCATTTCATTTCCTGTTGATTAATAATAATAAAAGACGTTCCAAATTCAAAGTTTCCACATCTTTTATTTTTGGCTTATTTATATACCATTCAATAGAACTTTTCGAGCTCATCACGAATATCTAGTATATAACTCTCACTAGTGTAATTTTTGGCTTAAAAAAGTACAAAAATTCTGCTTTGAACAATGTTTCTAACAGAATAACTCAATTTTTCAAAGCGTGAAACTATTCTTTTTTATTCAGTATTTAAAACTTCATATTGTGAACTATATGTGAAAGTTCTAGTATAAAAAAAAATTCAGAATTTAATGAGCTCAACATCAATAGTTGTATGACTATTATTTTAAAAAAATGACTATTGATTGAAACTATTCTGTTAGTGCTGTTCAATTAGAAACCATATTATGAATAGCTTATAATGTAGATACATTAGTACTGTATGATGATACGGGTCATCTAACAATGGAGGGTCGGGAATTGTATTTCGAGAAACTCAATCATTTTAGCTTCAAATGATAGGTCTCACCGTCAAACTGCGAAATACAAAATTTGGCGTGCCCATAGCCTACTTTGAGGGAGATAATTGAATCACAAGATATTATCCATATGTAAGGTGCGCATAATTCAGAAGTGGGTGTGGGTGTGTGGGTGTGAGTGTTGGTGTGGGTGGGTGTGGGGTGTGGGTGTAGGTGTGGGTGAGTGTGGGGTGTGGGTGGGTGTGAGTGTTGGTGTAGGTGGGTGTGGGTGTGGGTGTGGGTGAGTGTGGGGTGTGGGTGGGTGTGGATATGGATAGAGAAAAGAAACACCCACACCCACACCCACACCCTCACAACCACACCCTCACGCCCACACCCACACCCACCACACCCACACCCACACCCACCACACCCACACCCACACCCTCACACCCACACCCACACCCACCACACCCACCACACCCACACCCTCACACCCACACCCACACCCACCACACCCACACCCTCACAACCACACCCTCACACCCACACCCACCACACCCACACCCACATCCACCCCATATATTATCTTTTGTATTTGTGTAATATATTACCTATTAATATATCTTTTGTAATTCTTCAAAGAAATGGGTCATATACGTAGTTATTATATAATACAAATACAAAAGATAATGTATTAGTAGGCGTTTACAAATTTATTCTTTTACAAGAGAATCTATAAATCATGTCTAATCCAATAACCAAAATGGTGAATTTAATGGCGGCAATCTTGGAAGTACTGGATAAACTCAAGGGATTAACAGTGAAACTGGTGGCGGCGCAAAAAAAGGCAGAGGGGCATGCAATAACGAAAGTGGCAGCGGCAATCGCAGCAGTGGCTGCGGCAATCACGGCTGTGACAACATTAGTGATAATACCAGAACCAGTAACGAAAACTGTAGCAACGGCGTGGGCGGTGGCACTGACAGTATTGGCAATAGCAAAGACGGTTGAAGCAGTGCAGTCATTGAAGGAGACTCAGCAGGAAGAGAGAAAACTAGCCAATGAAGTGAAGCAAGTGGAGAACGCATTGGAGGAACTGAAGCAATCATTGGAGAAACTGAAGCAGGAATGTGGTCTATAAACACTTATGGTCAATAGATATACGATTTCAAATTTTTATTTAAAAAAAATAAATGATTATATAATTATTTTTTTATTTTTATTTTTAATCATTTTAATTTGAAAGAAACACTTTTTACTAATTATTTTGAATGACAAAAAAATGGGTTAGTAAATTGTATTTCTATATTATTTATTATCTCTATCCGACGGTGTATATTTCATCACAAAAGTTTGAAAGCTAGAGAGTTGAGGGTAAGCTTAAAACAAAAGATCTTGAGAGTGTGGATATGGATGTGTGGATGTGGGTGTGGGTGTGTGTGCGTGTGTTGGTGTGGGGTGTAGGTGTGGGTGTGGATGGGTGGGGTGTGGGGGGTGTGGGTGTGGGTGGTGTGGTGGGTGTGGGGTTGGAATGTCACTTCATCAACACCCACCCACATCCACACCCACCACACCACCCACACCCACACTCACACCCACACTCAGACTCACATCAAAATTTTCGTTATAATCCAGATTTAATAATTTTAAAAGCAAATCGACTAACATATGGCATTTCAATGTGTAGAATTTATTATATACCTAATAATACATCTTTGTTTAGTGTTAATTGGTGGATTGAAGAATAACTATGTTTTTTTCATAACTTCAATTCAAAAAAACTTCATGTCGATACAGACTTATTAAAAGAGATGCTGATCATATAATCTAGAAAAACAAAAAATATTTTTATTGACATTACGATGTGAATAATCGAATTGTTAGGTAGAGCAATCGAAGTATTCAAAAATGAAGCACTTCATCATATGAAAGTTGTTTAATTTGATCTTATTATTTCAGTAATTATACTGATATAATAAATATGGAAAAAAAATTATTGCGGATAGATTTGAAATGAGTAATTATTCGTCATTTATATATTTGTGTCATTAACTTATGCAAAATTACAGTTAAAAATCAAGTCGAAGTCAAGCTCATACATGGTTGCAATGTAAATACTCTTATCGTTTGCATGTGATTTTTCTTCGTCTCCTATAGATTCATTTTTCTATTCTTTTTGACAAGCATTATGACGACAGACATAAAAGAAATACAACATGTGCAAACATTTCTTTAGTTGCACAATTTTTCATCAATAACTGACGTATTATTTTCGGAAGAAATTATTTCATATATTCAAATAATTATCTATCATGTCTCATTACTGTTGTTTTGATTTTTTACCTGTTGAATTGCTGCATACTTTATTCACCTACTTTTCAGCTCATGAAATTCTTTTTACATTTTCTTACATTAGTGATTATGTTAATGAAGTTTTACTTTCCTATTTGGATTATCGACTTGACTTCAAATCAATTCAAAAGAGCGATTTTGATCTTGTTTGTCATCGCATTCGTCCAGATCAAGTCGTTTCTCTTACACTCTCTGATGATATTGATACACCTGGTCAATCTGAACTTTTTTTATCTCATTTTCAAATTGAACAATTCACTCGATTACAATCATTTACATTGATTCAGATAGAAGTTAAATCCTTAAAATTAATTTTTTCTTATTTACATAAGTTTGATCAACTACGTTCGCTGTCAATCAATGGTGAATCAATCAGTCATGTTCAAGATCAACGAACAAACGATATTATCAAAATTTTATCTCAATTAAATCGATTACATTTAAGCTACGCTACAATACTCACCTCTATCAAATTGCCATATCTTCATCATTTGAAACTCGAACAATGTTCAAGTGATGAACTAGAAATCATTTTCCAACATGTCCCACAACTCAAATCATTATATGTTTGTTTGAATATAAAAAGATGGAAATTTGAACTTAATTTACCATTCAATAAGCTCATTCGACTAAGTTTAAAAATCGAGAGTGAGTGATAAGAAAAAACAAATAGATTTATCAGAAATATCAAGAGAATTCTTCAATATCTTAAAATGACTTCTAAAATTATTCTGTAAATTTTCTAATTTTTATCATTTTAAAATCTTTATTTCATTGAAGCCTAATTACTTTTTCTCAAACATTGAACATGAATTTCCTCTAAGAAATACTTTCATTTTCTTATATATAGATTATCGGACATCTATGAATGAAATGGAACTATTTTTAAGGCAATTCCCTTATTTAAAGCATTTCGAACTCAGAACCATCGGTTCAAAAGATCTTTTCGATGGATATCGATGGAAAGAATTGGTTAGTTCCTTCATTACTTTCAATATCGAACTCATATCACAACATATGTTAATTGTAAATGTTCTTAAGTCATTTCGTAGTTCATTTTGGCTTGAAGAAAAACGTTGGTTTGTAGCATATCAGGACTATTGCTTATTTTCCATACCTCAGTTTGCACCAAATTGTATTGAAATTTCTCAACAGTTGCGTATTCGTTCGACAGCACCTGATAATAAATTTGTTTATGATCAAATCAATAAAATAACGATGAAAACAGCTGCCATTAAGCACAATCATTATTTTACACATATCAAGACTCTTGAACTCAAATGCTCCGTATCACTCAAGACTGTTGCATCGATTATTGATTTAAATCACATAAAACGCTTAACTGTATTATCGTTGGATGATGTATTAAAATTCATGCCACTGGAACATGTAATGCCTCATTTTTGTGAATTAACAATTGAGAACAATGTAACAATTAATATAATTGAACAAATTAGTCATTATCGTTTTTTACAAATTCGTAAACTTGAAATAGGTGTTAGTAGAAAGCAGATTGATCATATCATTGAAAAATTATTTCTTCTCTTTCCATGTGTACAACATCTTATATATAAATCGCCCGTTCAAACAAAAGACATCATGATTCACGTAATTGATGGATTCAAATGTTTATCGAAGGCATCTTTTTCCACTAACACTCTATTTGATCGAGAGGAATCTATTTTTTTTCAAAATCCAAGTTCAATAATTCAACACTCATGGCGGCTTACAAAAGATAACTTTACATGTCGAGTTCATCATTCACATACTGTTGATTCACTCGATAGTCATTCGTGGATTCATTTTTGGATTGGAGAACAGGTAAAACGTTCTCATAGAATGAAACTATTGTTAATATTTCTTTTTTTTTTATTTAGCCATCGACTCATTTGCAGAGAATGTATTGGCTACCAAGACGAGGATATTCTTGGTATCGATATAAATACATTTTTTTATCGACTGTAAATAACAATTTGCCATTAATCATATCTGTTCTTATCTTTTTGAGAGGATTACTGGTAGTTTTATTTTTCGTGTTCATGCTGAAAAGCTTTTTTCTTGCCTGGCTCATCAGTATTTTCGTCTATATTGTTTCACTGAAGAGCTTTTCCCTTGTCTGGCTCATTAGTATTTTCGTCTACATTGTTTCATTCAACATCTTCAACAGATTTATTAGATACAGGAATATATGTAGTTGGTTTGTCTGCATTTTATTGTTCTGGTTTGTCTTTCCTTCTACAATAATATTAACTGGTATTGTTATATTCATTAAGAATTACATCATTTAAAAATAACAAAACTTTTGATTCCATTGAAATAAATAAGACTTTGACTTTAATTTTTGGTACTATTTGTTATGTTTTCTGGTAAAATATACCTTGTGATTTGCAGTTAAACCGTAAGTTTTCTCATTCAATCGATTTTTCTCTTTTGTTTCTCGAAAATCTTGAATTCATTACTACAGAAACGAACTATATTCTTGACGTTTCTCTGTTTGAAATACACTCAACTTGAGTGCTGCGTCTATAGGTACAAGATCTCATCATTTTTTTAATGACACTTAAACATTTCTCAGTGCAATGATCTGATGTAAGGCGCAGGCAATTTGAATGTCAAGTAAAAAAATTTTTTCGCGTTTTCCCTACACCATCTGGGTGTGGGGTGTGGGTATCTATTCTCTGTTCAGAGCTCACACCCACACCCACAGCCAACACCCACAGCCAACACCCACACATCCACACATCCACACCCACACAAACACCCACACCTGACATGTAAATCAGCTCAAAACTTCAACTGCTCTGGTACACATGAGAGAAAAGAATGCAAAAGAAAAGAAAACGAAATTGTGTTTCGTTATCTCGTTTCTACTGAGTAACACAGACGAAAAAGGAAGCAAACGTGAACAATTAGTCACTGCGATGAGAAAGAGAATCATCTATGTAGTGATACACACAAGAAAAAGAAAAGTAAATTATTACACACACTAAAAAGGTCAACGAGTGTATTTATTGTGGATGAATATACATGAAAATCAACAAATTAAAGCTATTTTTCTATCAAAATCGAATCGCCTCTAAAGGGTTAAGAATAGCCGTACTTACAATCCAATGGCAGGTAGATTTGTTGTGTTATTTTTTGTTCTATGTGCACATGGACGCACAAGCAGCGTACCGCTTGCGTAGGAAAAGAAGAAAAATGTTTGATGAAAGGTAACGGGTAGTCTCATAGTAAATGAAACAAACGTCAAAGAGAATAAGAAAAATGACTGATAATTTCTCCCTTTAAAATCGACAGTTGATTTGAGTTTTTTAGGAAAAAAAGAAATTGTTCGAGCAGTTTACTCATTTGTTGGTAATTTTCTACTGACTTTCCTATTATGTGCGAATTATCTATGATAGAAACGCTGATTTCTACTAGAAAAAAGTCAATTTTAATATGTCGCAACATGGTGCTCTAATTTTCTCTATTAATTCATTCTTCCTAACTAATGACTATTTTTGTAGTATCATCTTTAATAAATGACTAAACTTGGAAACTAAGTGAAAACAGGGTGTAGGTATGGGTGTAAGTGTGGTTAAATCTTCTTAACACCCACACCAATCCCACCCATCCTAACTATCAGGGATATAAGTAGAGGTCAAATACTGGAAGAGAGAAGTGTAAATAAGTTCTTTGCGTTTGAGAGCAAAAGTTGGGAGGCGATGATAAGCGAAAATTTTAGAACGGAGTGAACGTGTTTTTGCTATTGATGAGCAAGAGAAAAAACAAAAACTTCCAACATTCTGGAGGAGGTCGCTTTTGTGCACTCCTGCTAACTACTGAAGTTTACTCGTTTATTTCTTTTTTACGACAGAAATAAAAATAAAATTCACCATTAATAAACTGATCTCTTATAGGTGTCGCAAGCCACACTTACCCAAAAGCATCCAACAGTTTAAAATAACGAATATATCTATGGAGTTGTTTAGAAAACTGTTCGCACTACGTAATAACTAAGCTCGCGCAAAAATAATCAAGCACAAATGATTTCAATTATATCTATTTCTGTTGTAATCTCTATTTTCCGCAATACATACTTGTATAAAATTCACTTTGAGAAAAATTCTCATAGCGGAACATCTGAAAAAATTCATTTAAGTGTCAATAAGAACATACTCGAGTGAAGTGATTCATTAGGAAATTTTTTTATACAAGAGCCAAAAGAATATGTTGAAAGATGTAACTCATCGAAAAATTTCTTCGCACTATTTGATGTGTTCTCTTAATTGATAAAAACAATGACACAATTGAATTTAGTTTATTTCATCTCATTTATAGTGATAAAAAAACAGATGTTTCGAAATACGCATCCCAAGTCAAGATTTAAACCCACGCGAAGAAATGAATCATTCTGTTATCACATTTGTAATGAATCATGAATGTCAATAAAAGCATGCATTTGGATTGTATGATGCAATTTCGTTTGGATATAAAAATCTTACTTTTATCATTATTTGCTTATATATTTTTCTCTGTCACAACTACTATTATTATAAAAAACAGAAAAAAAGTTGTCCAATTCTCCATTTGCAATGTCAGGAAATACTGTTGACGATTGTACTATATGTCTGAGTGCTCTTGCACCAGGCGCTTCTCTTTTGACTTTGTCATGTAATCACAAATTTCATTTTCAATGTCTAGCATCGAACATCAAAGCAAAAAATAAAGAATGTCCTTTATGTCGAGCTACAATTGAAGATTCAGTTGTTCAGTTACTAGCAGGCCCTATTAAGCCATCACTGCAACGACAACGACAACGACAACAACAAACAATTCCAATTCTACCTCTTGTAGTTAATGTAAGTAGTTATATGTTTCATATATGTTACTTCACTATTCTATATACACACAATCATACGTTGAGGAATAATTTGATGTTGATGATATCTTATAGGTTGTTCCTTCAGTAGAAGATCTGATTGATAAGGTTGCTGTACGAGAACTTTGCGATCGTCTCGCTTCTGCTCGTCAGGGTGCAGTTGCTTCACTCAATGATCTCGACAATCTTCCATTGATAACTGCTTCAACAACATTAGAATATGGAGCTCAATTTTCGCATGAAGAATCGAATATTTACGGTCTTGTCACTCTTCAAGCACCAACTGTTCTCTTACCAGCAGAGACTGGATCATTGTTATCGTCTCGTGTTCCAATTGATCTTGTTTGTGTTGTTGATCAAAGTGGATCGATGTCGGGTGAGAAAATAGCATTATTGAAACAAACGTTGGTCTATATTGTTGAACAAATGAATGAATTCGATCGACTAGCTATTATTTCATTCAATACTCAAGCTTTTGATCGTTCACATGGTCTCAAACGAATGAATCAACAAAAGTAAGTCTAGCATTCGCTTATAAGGAAATGTTCTTAGGTGTGTCGCTGCGAATTTCTACTAGATATAATGTTGAATGCAAATCTACATGCTAGTATAGCAAAACTTTAATAAAATAACCAGCTTAGCCTCCCCAAGTAAAAAAAATGCGAAGTCCCGATGCAAGCAACTAAACGAACAATTACTGAGAGCATAAGATTATCTATAGGACTTTTAATTATACGCAAAATTATGACACTATTAAGCATTTCACTTCAATTATATTACCATAGATTGTGAGAAGTGAAGAACGCAATGATGAGAAAGATAAAGATAACGAGAACTCCTAGGCGACATGAATGATGCATATTTCGGCTCTGTCTACTTTTGCTTGCTTCATTTCTGTAAGTTATCGTATAGAAATCTATCCATATTCGAAGAGAAAAAACCATCCGAATCTACTTACAGATATGCATCATCAAAGAACAATTTTGATAATCTTGTGTTGAGGAATAGATTAAAATCTGAACAACGAATTGAAACTGTTTCATAGATTATATACCTTATTTTTAACGAACAATATCGTGTACGCACATCACTTTTGTCAGATACTTTTTTTTTAACATGCCAATGAAATCGTACGATATTTTTTTTTCGATAAATTTTTAGCAAGCAGATCTTGACTGATGCAATCAATACTGACATCACAAGTAGAGGCGGTACGTATATTGCAAAGGGCTTAGAAATGGGCATCAACATGTTTACGAATCGTCAAACAAAAAATCCGTTGAATGCTTTACTCTTGCTCACCGATGGTCAAGACAGAAAAAATCATAACTATACGCAATTAATGCAAACTTTACCCAGTGATGTTCAATGTCACACATTCGGTTATGGATCCGATCATACGGCCTCATTACTGGTGCGAATAGCTGAGCAAGGGAATGCAGGCACATTTACTTACATCGTAGGTTGAAGTTGACTACCTGATTTTTAGTGAATCTTTTTTAACAGGATGAACAACAAGAAATAGGTTCTGCATTCGCAATGGTTCTTGGTGGCCTATTCACATGTGTTGCACAACAAGTCCATGTTAACATAGAATTCACTGGAGACTATAAAATCACTCATGTTCATTCGAAATATAAATATGAACCTGAACAATTGCCCTCGGCAAAACTCAATGTTAAGTTACATGATTTGAATGCCGAAGAAAAACGAAATCTTGTTTTTCAATTACATGTAGCTAAAATGGACAATAATGAACAAAATGTAGACATGACTAGTCAACAACTGATGTCATTGACTCAATCTTCAAAAGAAATGCAACTATTTGAAAATCAAATCATTGGTAAATATGAACAAGAGCTGGTTGCCTTTTTGAGTAGGACATTATCATCATTGTTCAATTTTTTCTTTTTGAATAGGTAATGTGATCGTTATCTACATCGATTCTAATACGGGTCGCACAATAACGACAGAACCAATTTCTTTCAATTTAGTACGAGATTTACATCCTTCAGATGATCTTCTTCATATCAATCATGTGCTTGACATTCAACGAAATCGAGTAGAAACAACATATGCACTCGAACAAGCAATGATCGAGGATGACTATCGACAATCACGTGCTATTCTCAAAGCTCAAATAGACAAGATCAAGGCTAGTGTATCTGTACAAGATCTCTTCTGTCAAAAGTTAATTAAAGATCTTGAATATCATTATCCAACAGAACGTGACTATCGATCATCACAACACAATACTTATATGTCACATACAACGGAACGAGGTACATACACGCCGACATACAATACTAGTACACAGCAATACCTTAATAGCTACCAAAGGCAAATGGCTTTTGATTTTGAAAATAAAAAAAGCTCATAAAATTTACAACAGTAAATGTAATCTTAATAGTTGTATTTCTTTCATATTAAACTAGATTAGATTACATAATACACGATATTGTGTAATCTACAATCATCGTATTGATTGCTAAGATCACATAAATGATTATTTTATAATGAGCTGATTTCTTTTCGATTATTGAATAAGCTTGCAAATGTCTTCTTACAGTTATTTCATACTTCTGATCCGCACTTTACTTTTCTTTCAAATCATTTGAAATTGATTGAACGAACAGAAAATATCGACAAATCAAAATACAGCTTCCACTGTTAGAGAAATTATAGAAGGGGTTGTGCATATAGTTGCGGAGTATTTTTGTTGATCAAGAGAAGATCCTTATCCACACACACCCTTGTTCACTATAGTATGTGCAATATTCAGTCATTAGCACATTATCGAAACGTTGGAGCATTTTTTTTTCGATTATAATGTAACTAGTTATCGAATTGACATCATGACCGTGGATATCGTTATCTAACTTAGGGCGTGGGTGTGGGTGTGGGTGTAGGCTCTAATCCTCTCTTTACTCACACCCACATCCTATAACTACTTGGTTTAAGCTTGGGCTCAGTACTTGCCCATACCAATTAAATAATAAGTGACCTTATTTGTCATCTCATACTTAGCTTTTCTTTCTCTCATATAGATTTTTTCAAATGTTCTCTGTTCTTTCTGCTACTGTACAATGAAGCTATGATTTTATTCTTGTCTTCTAAGATATTGCTACGAGAATGAGGACACAATGATGACATAACGAGGAAACGAAGTCAGGAAGTAATGACATTTAAAGAATTGTACATAATAGTTTGATATATCCATGGCGTAACTACTCGCCGACGATTACATCACTACATGAGACAAAGAGTCACTCATTACAGCATAAATGACGCCCAAATTATCTGATATCTCGAATATTTTACATCTGGCTTAGAACGTTGTTCAGGTGATGAGAACTTTTACTTTTTGGTAATTATCATAGGGTTTTTACGTAATTACTTTAAGTTAGATTCAACAGATTGATAGAAGATACATTCTTGGATTGAAGAAAAAATTCCGTCCTCAAAGAGCTAAAGAAATAGGTTCACATAAATGAACAATAACATCTGTTCTTTGATTTAAATCTTTGAATTGTTACAATGTGTAAAACAATGTAATATTTTATATACATATTGTACACTTACTATAGTTACTATTGGTATATGATTTAATTCATTTGTAATTATAAATAAATATTTAGTTGCATTTTAAACTCAAGGGGGTTTTGGGACATTCCGTGCTATGCAGATAAGAACATGACAAAACTATTGACGAGCAAAATTGGAATGAACGAATTTCAGATACTTCCAACAATCAACTTCATTTATACTATTTGCATATCAAAGTCAAAATAGGCTTCCGAATGGAAACTTTTGGATAGTATTTTGCAATGAGAGAAAATATATGAGAGAAGGACGCTGGTAATACGACAATGCACAGGAATCAACTGACCCAGGAAATTCTAAGACATTGTGCAGGAATGTGGATATTTTCTAGCTAAAACAAATTATTTGATGGGTCGCCTCGAAATCACATAATTAGGGGAAGGGATCCCAAAATGATTACTTGTGATCCGTACAGTAAAACGTGTTCAAAATAGTCAACAAAAGTCACCACGTGGTTTCCAAAAAGCCAGCAACGGGGACATATTGGAAAAGATTTTACTTGTCTTTGTGTTTCTATTCCTATGCTTCATATATTTGTACCAGTAATTTGTGTACTTCATGTAGCCATAGGTAAATGTAAGATTATTTTTTCATCTATTTTACATGAAACAGTTTCAACAATGAAAGCAATTCATGAAGAAAAATGTACAGCATTAAATGGTATACCAGTTATTTTTCGAGATATTTTAAATCATCCTGATAAAAAAATATGACTTAAGTCCATTAATTTATGGTGGATTAGGAGGAAGTCCAATGCATCCAGAGCTTTTATCTGAGCTAGAAAAAGAAATTCCAATTATACGTACTGCTCAAGGATATGGTTTGGCGTAAAATATTGCATTTATGACAAGTAGTATGTGAGCTGGTGATGGAGATCTAAAATATCGTCAAGGATCATTAGGAAGATGTATGCAATGTTTAGAAATCAAAAGTAGCTGATGGAGTTGGTAATGCAATACCTACTGGTCAAAGAGGTGAAATTTGGACAAGAAGTTACACAACAATGACTGATTATTTTAATGATCCAGAAAAAACAAGTGAAACAATAACATCATCTAGTTGACTTCAAACCATTGATGAAACAACAATGGATAAAGATGGTTATCTTTATTTTGTTGGACGTCAAAAAGAATTGATTATTCATGGTGGAATTAATATTTATCCAAGTGTTGCTGAAGCACAAGTATTTTCTATGTCCGATGAAGGTTATGGTAAAGAAGTATGTGCATGGATTAAATTAAAACCAAATGTAAAAGAATGTCAACATGAAGATATTACAAAATTTCTTGCTGATAAATTAGACTTTTTTAAAATTCCAAAACATATTCGATTTATTAATAAATTTATAATGACACCAACAGGAAAAATTCAAAAATTTAAATTA